TTTCCTTTTCTGTAGAGTGGAACAGGGCCAGCCTGACTCCAGCATTCCAACGGTAGAGCACCTGGTACAGACTCTGGGAATCCTCCCAGACACTGACCAGAGGCCCCCCCAAGTCCTGGGACAGTGAGGTCCTCCGAGGGCAGGGGTGTGCGGCTGAGGCTTCACAGGACGGAAGACTTGGCAGAGGTGGTGTGCGGATGTTTGTCTAGGAGGAGACAGCAGGAGAGGCGAAGGCATCCAGAGACAGGGCCTGGGGAATGTCAGAGCAGGTGGGGGATCACGTGGGGACTCGTGTGGAGGGGTGCTGGGAGAGGGGACCTGAGTTTGAGTCTCGCTGCCCTGCAACAAAGACCCATGCCTGTGACCGCTTCCATGGAAGCCTCAGTTTCCCCACTTGGCAAAGGATTAAGGGTTTGTAGTTTCTGGTGGGCTGTTGGGTGGCACTGGGCCTCAGTTTCTCCATCTGGAAAATGGGTAGAGGAGGATTAGAAACATTGAGTGGGATCGGACATTGGCAAACTCTATACCTTGGTGACGACCTCATAATGGAAGGTAGGACAGCTGTTTCTCTGGGTACCTTGCTTTCTGACTCCCTCATTGTACACTTTTTAGCAGTTATTGGCCCAGCAAGCTGCACTAACCAGGGGCGTGCAGAGGAAGGCTGAGTAAGATCCAGGCTCTGAGATCTTAGGGGCAGCCCCCTAAAGAAGTGCAGTTGGGCCAGGTGCAAGGGCTCACACCTGTAAGTCCAGCACTTTGCGAGGCTGAGGCAGAAGGATCACTTGAGTCCGGGAGCTCGAGACCAGCCTGGGCAACATAAGGAGACCCCGCCCCCCATCTCTCCAGAAAATACATTAGCCCGGGCGTAGTGGTGTGCATCTGTAGTCTCAGCTACTCGGGAGGCTGAGGTAGGAGGATCCCTTGAGCCCAGGAGGTTGAGGCTGCAGTGAGCTAGGACTGTGCCACTGCACTCCAACTTAGGCAACACATGGAGATCCTGTCTCAAAAAAAAAAAAAAAAGAAAAGAAAAAGTAAGGAGCGGAGAGTTGCGTCTGACTCTGTGCCTCGGTTTCCCCCTTTGTCTCGGGGGTCGTCAGGGAGCCGCCCGTCGCGAGGCGGGGCGGATGCGCCCTTTGCCCCCTCCCCGCTGGGCCCCGCCCCCGCAGCTGTCCAGAAAAGGTCCCGCGCAGCCAGCGCTCGGTCCAGCCTCCACGCGGTCCTGGCAATGCAGGGCCCCCCCGCGCCCGCCCCGGCCCCGGGGCCCAGTTCCCCTCGGGGATCCCCGCGCGGCTCCCCCGGGCTCTTCAGGAAGCTTTTGGTGAATCAGAGCATCCGCCTGCAGCGGCGCTTCACGGTGGCCCATCCGCTGTGGTGAGGCGGGACAGAGGGCCTGGCGGGGTCACCGGGACGCCCGGTGTGGAGGTGGGAAGGGCAGGGACAGGGACAAGGGCAGGGACAGCTGGGGCCAGGGCCGGAGTCAGGGCATGGACGCTCTGCCTCTCCCTCGCTTTCTCTGTATCTCTCTCCCCCTACCCTACTCTACTTTTGTCTCGCAGTTGGTGACTCTGTCTCTCTCTGTCTCTGTCTGTCTCCACCCGCTGCCTGGATATAGGCCCAGGGGACCAGCCGTCTGTCTCCTTCCAGCTGTGAGGCCCAGAGTGGGACGGGCTGAGGCTCACGTCTCCTCCTGACCCTCGCCGGCCTAGGGCAGGCAGGCTGTGCGTCCTGGCAATGGGAGGAAGGGGAAGGGGCACTTCTCCCCTTGGCGCCCCCTCCCACCACCATTTCGTCCCAGTGCCAGCAAAGAGATGCCCTGGGGGCCTCACAATGAACTCTGGGTGTCCACGGAGGAAGACCTGAATTGAGGGGGTTTTCGAGGCAGGGCATTCGGGAGTCCCAGGATGAGCGCGCGCCCGTGCCCCGCAGCTGCTTGCGCTGCATCCTCTAAGCACTCGGTCCACCCCTCCTCTGGGTTCGAATCCCTGCCTTTCCAGAAACGACTGTGACCTCGTGGGGAGGGGTGGGGGCGAGGCTGGGGTCCGGAGTGGGGCTTGTGGGCGCCGACTGTGACTGGCATCCTGCGCTCGGTCCGCGCCGAATTGGCACCCACTTGGTAAGTTTGGCATCCAAAGGCTGAGAGGGGAGGGAGGTCCCTCTGCAAGGTCATAGCTGGGGTTGGAGGGAGAAGGCATGATCGTGGTTCCTGGTGGTTTCATTTCAGCCAGGGAGTGGGGGAGTGGGGGTTCTGTGTCCTGGTGAGCGACCTCGGGGGACCGAACACGAGGGAAGCACGGTCACTTCTGAAGGCGCTGGAGAGAGTGCAAGGACGTCGAGGGCGCGTCACGGGTACCCAGAAGTGAGGATGAACGAGGGCGGGCCCCGCGCCGGCCGGACCCGAACCCAAGTCCGAGCCTCTCAGGCTCAGTTTACCCCCCGGCCAATGGGCAGCCGCGCCGTTCCCACAGCCGGGGGGCCCTACCCCCGCGCCGCCCGCGTCATGGAACCACAGCCTGACCCCGCCGCTCCTGGCTAAGTTTAGAGCAGAAAGAAAAACAGCCTCCCCCGCCCCAAGAAAACCCGGGCCCAGCTCTTAACCCTCTGCGCCCGGGATCCGGATTTGCACACCCTGTGGCCGCTCCTGGCCTCAGTTTCCCTATTTGTCCATAGACGCGCTTTTCTGGAACCCTTGGGGAGAGGCGAGAGGGGTAGGGGGCCGCAACCCGCATGCCTGCCCCTCGAGGGGCAGATTTGGGGTATCCGCCGCCTCCAGCCCTCCCCTAAGAGCGTCTCCCATTGCGCCACAGCGCCCACGGCGCACCCCAAACCGGCCAGGGAAGGGTTAAGAAGCCCCGCCCCCTCGGCTGGCCGGGGGATCATCCCAGTCCCGCTAAACCCGCTGGAGTCGGACGGAACTGGCCGAGCGCGGCCGGTCTTAGTCGGAGATGCCCGAACTAGCCCCCGTGTAGCCGGACGTGACCGAACATGCCCGACCCGGCCCGAGCGTCACCCGGACTTGTTCGAAGCAGACCGAGCGTAACCGGACTTAGACGAACAAGATCGAACTTATCCGAACTCTCCCGAGCTTAATCGGACGTAGCCGAATTCTCCCGAACTCATCAAACAAACTCTTCGGGACGAAGTCCAATTCGACGTGATCAGACCCAATTCAGACCCGGTCATATTTGACCAAATGCTGCCGAATCCCTCACCTCTACCTAGATCTGAGCCTACGCGGGGGTGCTGACCCAGCCCGTGGACGGGGATAGGGTGACCTTTGACCCAAAAGTCATGGCCGGGACCAGCTGGACACTGGCCCTCGGCCGGGAACTGCGAGTCTCGGGCGGTCCCCGTTGTCTTCCTGTCGGTGCTGCTTCCGCCCGCCCTTCTTGAAAACCCTACCTGCAGATCACCACCTTCTCTTGGGCCTCAGTACTTGCCCTATGCCCTTTCTCTGACCTGTGACCGCAAAGAGGAGGGGCTAGAGGGTGTGGCCAGAGGGAAAGACAGGGTCTGAGGATAGAACGGGACAAGTAGTGTGGAGAAGGAGGAGAGTGCTCCGGGCAGAGGGCACGGCCTGTGCAGACCCGGAGGTGCAAGAGAACAGGCGGAAGGTTCAGGCTGAAGATGAAGTGGAGGAGTGGGGGAGCCTAGGGCTGGACCTGGTTAGCTGGGGGCGTGGTCGACGGCCGTGGGGCGGAGCCTTATGGGCTGAGGGTGGAGCCTGGAACGCTGGGGGCGTGGCAGGTGGCCAAGGGTGTGGTCAAGTTGGCTCTCTAGACTAAGGCGCACGCAGGAGCTAGGCAGAACCCCGGCCTTCTCCAGGTAGAAGAGTCCAAGAAGCTGTTTCCAGTTCACGTGTTCACCATGTGAGCTAGATCTCAGTTTGTCCCTTTGCAATATGGTTATCCTGTCGCAGTCGTTGGATGTTCGGTTGTAACTCCCTCAAAGAGCTCTTGGGGATGGGCTACATCACGCACATGTTAGAAACAGGGGAGGCCGGGTGCAGTGGCTCGTGCTTGTAATCTCAGTACTTTGGAAGGCCCAGGCAGGCAGATCACTAGGTCAGGAGTTCAAGAGCAGCCTGGCCAACATGATGAAACCCCGTGTCTAGTAAAAATACAAAAATTAGCCGGGCGTGGTGGTGCGCACCTGTAATCCCAGCTACTTGGGAGGCTGAGGCAAGAGAATTGTGTGAACCCGGGAGGCGGAGGTTGCAGTGAGCTGCGATTGTGCCCCCACTGCACTCCAGCGTGGACAACTGCACTCCAGCACTGCCAACAGAGCGATACTTCATCTCAAACCCCCCCCAAAAAACAGAATGAAAAGAAACAGGGGAGGCCTGGTGCGGTGGCTCACTCCTGTAATCCCAGCACTTTGGGAGGCAGAGGTGGCAGGATTATTTGAGGCCAGAAGTTCAAGACCAGCCTGGGCAAAATAGTGAGACCTGGTCTCTACAAAAAATTTAAAAATTACCCGGGTGTTGGGGCGTGCTCCTGTAGTCTCAGCTACTCAGGAGGTTGAGGCTGGAGGATGGCTTGAGCTTAGGAGATTGAGGCTGCAGTGAGCTAGGATCATACCACTGCACTGCAGCCTGGGTGACAGAGTGGGGCCCTGTCAAAAAAAAGAAAAGAAAAGAAAGAAAGAAAGAAAGCGAGAGAGAGAGAGAGAGAAAGAATGAGAAAGAGAAAAAAGAAAGAAAGAGAGAAAAATAAAAGACACAGGGTGGTTGAGGTCCAGAGAAAGTCAGTACCTGTCTATGACCACACAGCCACTTTGAGGAAGATCTGGAACTGAGGTCCTGGAGTCCAGTGTAGACTCGAAGACCAAAGTGTGAGGGGTGCAGTTTCCTGAGGGTGCAGCTGGGGTCAGGTGAACAAGCTGGAAACCACACTTGCCTGACTGCCAAGTAGCTTCAGGGAGGAGGCACCAGACAAGGTGGCCACGACCCGGCACCCAATTGTCATGACCCTCGTCTCTGACCATGTCTTCTCTCCTTTCAGCTTTGACCTGGAAAATGGGCTCTCATGCGGGAGGAGGGCCCTGGACCCTCAGTCCAGCCCTGGGCTGGGCCGGGTCATGCAGGCTCCAGTCCAGCACAGCCAGCGGCGCGAGTCCTTCCTGTACCGCTCAGATAGTGACTATGAACTCTCACCCAAGGCCGTGTCTCGGAACTCCTCTGTGGCCAGTGACCTGTGAGTCTGGGGCTGGTGGAATGACACCTCCTCTACGCTCCCTCCTTCCTTTGTTCCTCTATTCAGCAAGTTCCTTCAAGTAGCCATTTAAGGAAGGTTTTGAAGTTCAGGTAGGAGTTTGCCAGGCAGCTCATTTATTCAATCAAGTGTGTAGAGAACTCTGCCTTTTGCTGGGGTGGGGGTGGTAATCCAAAAACATTAAGGTCGGCCGGGCACGGTGGCTCACGCCTGTAATCCCAGCACTTTGGGAGGCCGAGGTCGGCGGATCACTTGAGGTCAGGAGGTCAGGACCAGCCTGGCTAACATGGTGAAACCCCATCACTACTAAAAAATACAAAAATTAGCCAGGTGTGGTGGTCCATGCCTGTAGTCCCAGCTACTCAGGAGGCTGAGGCACAAGAATCGCTTGAACCCAGGAGGTGAAGGTTGTAGTGAGCCGAGATGGTACCACTGCACTCCAGCCTGGGCGAAAGAGCAAGACTATGCCTCAAAAAACAAACACATTAAGGCTAATTAGCAGCAAATGAAGAAATACTTTGACCTTCCTAGTGGGCATAATGAAAAGGGAAATACCTCCTTGCCCCTGGGACTCAGTTTCCCCATTTATGAGATGCCGATAAAGTGAGTGAATGGTTGGAGGGGCTGTGGTGGGTCTGAGGGAGAGTCGCATGAAGGGAGCCCAGGGACTAAGAAGGCGCCCGGAGGAGAAGTCCTGAGAACAGGAACCCCTCAGCTGAGGGTATGTGGTGTGGGTAAAAGCTGGAAGATGGGAGAGAACTCTTCCTGATGGCACGTCTCCTCGCAGACATGGAGAGGACATGATTGTGACGCCCTTTGCCCAGGTGGGTGTCCCCCGCCCTCCCTGCCCTGACCCCCTCCGGATCTGGCCTCTCCTTCCCACCGCCTACCACCTCCTCCCAACAGGTCCTGGCCAGTCTGCGGACGGTTCGGAGCAACGTGGCGGCCCTTGCCCGCCTGCAATGCCTAGGAGCAGCCAAGTAGGTAGAGGGCGGGGCGGGGAGGGGGCGGGGCCGGCAGAGACAAGGTGGGCGGGGAGGGGCGGGGCCAGCAGACGACGGAGGCGGGGCCTGGCGGAAAGCGGGCTGCAAATTGAGGCTGGGACTCCGGCGCCTAAGGGTGGGCTTGAGGGGCGGGGCCTGGAGGACTTGGGGTCTGTGCGAGATGGGCGGAGCAGCCACGCCTGAGGCTGCTCTACCGCAGGCAGGGACCCGTCGGAAACCCTTCATCCAGCAATCAGCCCCCTCCGCCTGCAGGTAAAGTACCTGTTCCTTCCCTCCCCTGCTGAGGACAACTGGGAGCTTCCTTTACGTAGTGACCTCCCCAGTCCATGAGCCCTTAGACTGGGGCTAAATTGTAGCCCCGCCCCTGCAAAAACAAACAATAACGCCCTCGGGGATGGACCCCACCACACCCATATTACAGACGAGGAGGCTGAGGCCCAGAGATCTCGTGGTCACACAGCCACTCGGGGGACAGATCTGGAACTTGGGTCCAGGAGTCCTGGGTGGCCCCCGTGGGAACAGTTTCAGGGTCCAGATGCAGAGACGAAAGCGTGAGAGGCGTGGGGTCCCTGAGCGGGGGTGGGGCAGGCCCCTGACTGCCTCGGCTCCCAGAGGACACGGGGCAGAAGCTGGCATTGGAGACGCTAGACGAGCTGGACTGGTGCCTGGATCAGTTGGAGACGCTGCAGACCCGGCACTCGGTGGGGGAGATGGCCTCCAACAAGGTGAGGTGGGGCAGATCGCTGAGCTCACCTGCCTCGGCCCACGGTACCCCATCATCACTGTCTTCACCTTCCCTCCCCCCCAGTTCAAGCGGATCCTAAACCGGGAGTTGACCCACCTGTCCGAAACCAGCCGCTCCGGGAACCAGGTGTCCGAGTACATCTCCCGGACCTTCCTGGGTGAGCTTTGTTGAGTCACTGCCTGGACGATATTATAGGAGTACTAAGAAGCAAGAGAAAGAAATATTTCTATTATAGACCTCAGTCCGGGGGAGATACAGCCTGACACAGACACCTTCAGCCCCATGAGTCAGGGCTGGATCAGAGGGAGGAACAAGGGGAACTTCCAGGAGCAGGGGACATTAAAGCTAGGGTTTTGAAGCATGAGTAGAAATTTGCCTAGGAGGAGATGGAGGGAACCAGACACCAGCTTGGGAGATGGAAAGGACACTAGGCTGTTTGGGGGGAAATGCTGAGCCCCAGGCACCCCGGGGCCATGCCTAGCAGAAGAGTTTACTGAAATCAGCTGTGAACAGAGGAGAGGGGTAGGTAGCTACAGGCAAGACAGGATTTTTTTTTTTTTTTTTTTGATACAGTTCACTTTGTTGCCCAGGCAGGAGTGCCATAGTGCAATCTCAGCCATTGCAACCTCCGCCCCCCGGGTTCAAGCAATTCTCCCACCTCAGCCTCCCGAGTAGCTGGGGTTACAGGTGCCCGCCACCATACCTGGCTAATTTTTGTATTTTTAGTAGTGATGGGGTTTCACCATATTGCTCAGACTGGTCTTGAACTCCTGACCTCAAGTGATCCGCCCACCTCGACTTCCCAAAGCACTGAGATTACAGGTGTGAGCCACCGCATCCGGCCGACAGGGTCTTTACCCTGAACTTACTTTGGTTCCTGTAGAAAGGGAAATAGGGGCCGGGCGCGGTGGCTCACGCCTGTAATCCCAGCACTTTGGGAGGCCGAGGCGGGCGGATCACGAGGTCAGGAGATCGAGACCATCCTGGCTAACACGGTGAAACCCTGTCTCTACTAAAAATACAACAAATTAGCCGGGCGTGGTGGCGGGCACCTGTAGTCCCAGCTACTCGGGAGGCTGAGGTGGGAGAATGGCGTGAACCCGGGAGGTGGAGCTTGCAGTGAGCCGAGACTGCGCCACTGCACTCCAGCCTGGGTGACAGAGCGAGACTCCATCTCCAAAAAAAAAAAAAAAAAAAAAAAAAAAAAGAAAAAAGGAAGGGAAATAGGTTGATCCTGGGGTTTGGCAAAGTTCAGGTCCTGAGGCCAGGCCCCAACAGGCGAAATCGGCTTCTGTAAGCCTCACCCTGGCCCATCTGCAGACCAGCAGACTGAGGTGGAGCTGCCCAAGGTGACCGCTGAGGAGGCCCCACAGCCCATGTCCCGGATCAGTGGCCTACATGGGCTCTGCCATGGTGCCAGCCTCTCCTCAGCCACTGTCCCACGCTTTGGGGTCCAGACTGACCAGGAGGAACAGCTGGCCAAGGTGGGTCCTCAACCACAATGCCAAGATCAAGGTTTGGTCCTTGGCTCTGTCTGGATGCCCTAGCTTGGGCCTGTTTGCCCACCTATATACTGGACAGTTGGGGCTCACTGTGGGACCTGGGGTGGGCGGATGGAGGCTCTAGAGTCTGGGGAAGTTGGGCTGGGGTTAATTAAGCTCCAGTCCTTCACATCTTAGGAGCTAGAAGACACCAACAGGTGGGGACTTGACGTGTTCAAGGTGGCGGAGCTAAGTGGGAACCGACCCCTTACAGCTGTCCTATTCAGCATTTTTCAGGTACCTACCCTGCCCTTGGCTTCCAAGGAAAAACTCCTGGGGTTTCCTTCACCACTTCCTACCCTAGACCTCAGGGACACTCATTTTTCAAATCCTTTCTGACATTTCTGAAGGGGATAATTTGAGCAGGGTATTGAAGGATGAATAGGAGTTCACGCAGATGAACAGTTCATTGTCCAGAAGCCTCAGCCCTGGCCCCTGGCCCTGAAGAGGAGAGAAATCTGGAGAGAAGAGCTGGACACAGACATCCCCAGTCCTGTAGGGTCAGGGATGGACCACCAAAGAACACAGAGTGGAGGAGTTCAGGAGAGCAGGGAGGGTGTCTCAGAGGAGTGGGTGCCTGAGGCATGGATAGGAGTTCAGAAGAGAGGAGTAGGAACAGCGTGTGCTGCAGCCCCAAGACCAAGGCCCTGAGGCCAGGATCTGTGATGGACCAGGAGCGGGACCTGCTGAAGACATTCCAGATCCCAGCAGACACACTGGCCACCTACCTGCTGATGCTGGAGGGTCACTACCATGCCGATGTGGCCTATCACAACAGCCTACATGCTGCCGATGTGGCCCAGTCTACGCATGTGCTGCTGGCTACACCTGCCCTTGAGGTACTGCGCTACGACTGCAGGCAGGCGGGCGGGTGCAGGGCCCAGAGAACCCGCCCCTCATCACCTGTGTTCTCTGCCTGCTCAGGCTGTGTTCACAGACTTGGAAATCCTGGCTGCCCTCTTTGCAAGCGCCATCCATGATGTGGACCATCCTGGGGTCTCCAACCAGTTTCTGATTAACACCAGTAAGTAGGAGTGGGAAGTGGGTGCAGGAGGTGAGGCAGACCCCGCCTCCACCCTGTCTACCAGGTGATCTCAGGGGGTTCCCATCTATCCTGAACCCAGTCTCCCTGTCTATGAAATGACTATCACAGTCTTCCCTCCCTTCAGGGGCTTGGAGCAGGTCTGGGTGCACAGTAGGTGCTCAATAAATGACAGAATAATGAGCTGTGGCAGAGCTGATCTGGTTCCACCAAGGTCTTTATTTATTTATTTTTTAAGACAGGGTCTTGCTCTGTCACCCAGGCTGGAGTGCAGTGGTGCGATTTCGGCTCTCTGCAACCTCTACATCCCAGGTTCAAGCGATTCTCTAGCCTCAGACTCCCGGAGTAGCTGGGATTACAGGTGCGCGCTACCATGCCCGGCTAAGTTTTGTATTTTTCATAGATACAAGGTTTCGCGATGTTGCCCAGGCTTGTTTCAAACTCCTGGCGTCAAGCGATCTGCCTGCCTCAGCCTCCCAAAGTGCTGGGATTACAGCCATAAGTCACCACGCCTGGCCACTTCCACCAAGATCTTAAAGTTTAGGATCATATGAGGAATCTGAAAAACTCGGTTGACAGGCAATTATTGGGCACCTTCTGTGTATAAGCCCTGGAGTGCTGGGGGTGAGAGTGGAGGCCCCTCACTCAAAGGGCCTAGAGTCCAATAAGACAAAGACTCAGTTGTTTATTTAACCAGCACTGAGAGACTGGGCATCATAGCTCACACCTGTAATCCCAACACTGTGGGAGGCCAAGGCGGGAGGATTGCTTGAGTTCAGGAGTTCGAGACCAGCCTGGGCAATACAGTGAGACCCTGTCTCTCCAAAAAATAAAAAAAAAATTAGCCAAGTGTGGTGGCACACACCTGTAATCCCAATTACTCAGGAGGCTGAGATGGAGGATCACTTGAGGCCGGGAGGTTGAGGCTGCAGGGAGCTGTGATTGCACCACTGTGCTCCAGCCTGGGTGACAGCAAGACCCTGTCTCTAAAAAACCAACCAACCAACAAACAAAAAAACATTGCTGAGTACTCACTGTCTCTGGCCATAGTGGGTCCGTGAGGAGCCTTCCCAGTCTTGGGTAGGCAGAGCCAAACACAGATACCCCTGGCCCTGCAGTCAGGGAAGGGTCAGGGACATGGATGGTTTCTTACAGGAGGGCATGCTAGAGTTGGGCCTTCAATGCATGGGTAGGAGTTTGCTAAGGATTTCCGAAAGCTGCTTTTGGGTAGAGTGGGTGGGGCGGGTGGATCTTGGGGCTCTCAGTCCCATATCCCCGCAGACTCAGAGCTGGCGCTTATGTACAATGATGCCTCCGTGCTGGAGAACCACCACCTGGCTGTGGGCTTCAAGCTGCTGCAGGCAAAGAACTGCGATATCTTCCAGAACCTCAGCACCAAGCAGCGACTGAGTCTGCGCAGGATGGTCATTGACATGGTGAGGCTAGGGCAGTAATCGGGGAGGGAGGGGTAGAGGTGGGGGGGCATCCTTCTCATCTGCCAACAGCAGGGTGGGGTAATATTAGCATGGCCGGTGGTTCATCCAGACCCAGGCATGTCCTCACTCTGAGTCTGAGCTTCCTCATCTGTGAAATGGAACAGTGGGGCCAGGAGCGGTGGCTCATGCCTGTAATCCTAGCACTTTGGGAAGCAGAGGCAGGCAGATCACCTGAGGTCACGAGTTCGAGACCAGCCTGGCCAATATGGTGAAACCTCGTCTGTACTAAAAATACAAAAATTAGCTGGGCGTGGTGGTGCGCACCTGTAATCCCAGCTACTCGGGAGGCCGAGGCAGGAGAATTGCTAGAACCCAGGAGGCAGAGGCTGCAGTGATCTAGTGAGCTGAGATCGTGCCACTGCACTTTAGCGTCAGCAACAGAGTGAGACTCCATCTCAAAAAAAAAAAAAAAAGGGACAGTAACTGCCCAAACCCCAGGCCCTCTGCTGGGCTCTGCAGATCCTGGCTGTACTCAGGTGATATGGAAACTGTTTCTGGGGTCTCAAGTGCAACTTTGCTGAGCCTTAAATTTGGCATATCTGGGTTGGGCACAGGCTCACACCTGTAATCCCAGCATTTTGGGAGGCTGAAGCGGGCAGATCACTTGAGGTCAAGAGTTCGAGACCAGCCTGACAAACATGGTGAAACCCCCGTCTCTACTAAAAATACCAAAATTAGCCAGGCGTGGTGGTGGGCACCTGTGATCCCAGTTACTTGGGAGGCTAAGGCAGGAGAGTCGCTTGAACCCAGGAGGTGGAGGTCGCAGTGAGCTGAGATTGCACCATGGCACTCCAGCCTTAGTAACAGAGTGAGACTCTGTCTCAAAAAAAGGAAAAATCATTAAGCAGCCAGGCACGGTGGCTCAGGCCTGTAATCCCAGCACTTTGGGAGGCTGAGGCAGGTGGATCATGAGGTCAAGAGATCAAGACCATCCTGGCCAACATGGTGAAACCCCGTCTCTACTAAAAATACAAAAATTAGCCAGGCGTGGTGGCACGCGCCTGTAATCCCAGATACTCAGGAGGCTGAGTCAGGAGAATCACCCGAACTTGGGAGGCGGAGGTTGCAGTGAGTGGAGATAGTGCCACTGCACTCCAGCCTGGCGACACAGCAAGACTCCGTCTCAAAAAAAAAAAAAAAATTAAGCACATCTGTCCATTTGATTTTTTTTTTTTAAAGTAGGGGCACATCAGTAGGTTTTGGGGTCTCATGCCTCATTAATGCATTTAACAAGCATTTATTGAGCACCTATTATGTGCTTGATCTGTGCAAAGAGAGTTCCGGCCTTTATGAAATTCATGATCTGTAGGGCAGATGGCCACAGAGGTGGTAGCTGTGACTAGGGACCTGCATGCAGAGCGGTGAGGAGGGAGGTTCAAGGTGCTTTCAGAGCCCAGACCAGCCAAAGAGATCAGAGAGGGGTTCCTGGAGAGGGAGCATTAAAGCCAGGATGTGCAGAATGAGGAAGACTACGGGATGGGGAACTGTGTTCCCAGGGGTGGGAACCACATGGGAGGACTACAGGCGCGCACCTCCATGCCCAGCTAATTTTTGTATTTTTAGTAGAGATGAGGTTTCACCATGTTGGCCAGGCTGGTCTCGAACTCCTGACCTCATGATCCACCCGCCTCGGCCTCCCAAAGTTCTGGGATTACAGGCATGAGCCACCGCACCTGGCGGTCATTCTGGTTTTTAAACATCTGTGCCCAGAGTTAAAAACAGCCCTCCAAGGCTGGGCATGGTGGATCACGCCTGTAATCCCAACACTTTGGGAGGCCAAGGCAGGTGGATCACGAGGTCAGGAGATCGAGACCATCCTGGCTAACATGGTGAAACCCCGTCTCTACTAAAAATACAAAAAATTATCTGGGCACAGTGACACGCACCTGTAATCACAGCTACTCAGGAGGCTGAAGCAGGAGAATCACTTGAACCCAGGAGGCAGAGGTTGCAGTGAGCCGAGATCACACCACTGCACTTCAACCTGGGTGACAGAGCAAGACTCCATCTCACAAAAATAAAATAAAATAAATAAAATAAAATAAAATAAAATAAAATAAAATAAAATAAAATAAAAAATAAAATAAAATAAAATAAAATAAAATAGAAAGAAAAAAGAAAGAAATAGCTCTCCAGGGCACATGGCAGCCACATGGAAGTTTGAGGGGTATGAAGTCACATCCCTCCCCACAGTGAGCTGCAAACTCCCTTGCAGCTTTGGACAAGGTCCTCCAGCTGCCAGAGGCCCTCAACCTCCTCGGTCTCACCTCCATCTCTCTTGAGCTCACTTCTTCCAGCCACAACCACCCTTCTAGGTTCCTCTTATGTACGCAACTCTTCCAGTCCCTTTGCACAGACCTCATCCTCCACGCTGTCCTCAGGTACAACTCACCTTAGCACGTAAGCATCCCTGTGGGATCAGAATTGGGGTTGGAGGAGGCTGGAAGGGTCAACAGAGGCATCCTAGAGGATGGATTATTTGAAAAGGGTTTTGAGGGATGAGTAGGAGTTGGGAAGTGGCATTCCAGGCAGAGGGAAAAACCTGGCTAAAGATCTGGAGGCTGTATTGGTTCTAGAGTTTGCTGTGACTCACTGAATGCCTACCTGACCCACCCACCCCACAGGTGGATTTCATTGATTACATTGCCCACCCACTGTGGGAGACTTGGGCTCACAAGTCCCAGACGCACAGGTTTGGTTACCTCCCCCCACACCCTGTCACACATGTAGAATTCTTGGCCAACCCAAACAACCTCCCAGAAGGGGCCCCTGACTGAGCCCCTCTTGTGAGCAGGGTTTGCAGTGAATGCAGTTCCATCCTCCCATTTCACAGATGAGTATGCTGAGGCCCAGAAGGCTGATTCTGAGCCGGAGTGGCATCTGGGAGTTGGGAGTGAGGGTCAGGGTGGGCAGGGTCCTTGCACCTGTCACCTTCCCTTGCCTGCCCCCAGGTGCTGGCCACAGACATGTCCAAACACATGAACCTCCTGGCCGACCTCAAGACCATGGTGGAGACCAAGAAGGTGACAAGCCTTGGCGTCCTCCTCTTGGACAACTATTCCGACCGAATCCAGGTGTGTAGCTGGGCGGGCCCCGGGGCCTCCTTTTTATATTTTAGTTTTGCTTTAAAAACAATTTTAGCTAGGCCTCTTACACATTTAGTTTGAGTGAAGGCTGAGGGCAGTGGCTCACACCTGTAATCCTAACACTTTGGGAGGTTAAGGCGTGAGGATTGCTTGAGGTCAGGAGTTAGAGGCTGCAGTGAGGTGTGACTGCACCATTGTACTCTGGTCTGGGCAACAGAGTGAGACCCTGTCTCTTAAAATGAAAAAAAAAAAAAAAAAAGAAATTAAAAAAAGAAGCCTGGCTCAGAGGCTCACACCTGTAATCCTGGCACTTTGAGAGGCTGAGATGGGCGGATCGCTTGAGCTCAGGAGTTCAAGACCAGCCTGGGCAACACCCTGTCTCTACAAAAATACAAAAATTAGCCGGGCATGGTGGCGCATGCCTATAGTTCCAGCTATTCAGGAGGCTGGGGTGGGAGGATCATTTGAGCCTGGGAGGCAGAGGTTGCAGTGAGCCAAGATCTCGCCACTGCACTCCAGCCAGGGTCACAGAGTGAGATCCCATCTCATTTAAAAAAAAAAAAATTGGAGGGGGCCTCCATTTTCGCAATTCTCATTTAGCTTCATTTATGAAGTGCCGACTGTATGCTAAACTTGAAGAAATGTCAAGAGTCTAAGTGGTCAAGCCTATGCCTTAACCACTTCTTCAGGTCTCAAGCCTCAGTTTCCCCACCTGTAAGATGAATGTGTCCATGGCACCAAGCCTGTCTGTGGGGGTGCCAGGTCCAGATGTGGCTGGGCCCCTCCAGTGCCCTCCCGAGCCTTGCTCTCTGTAGGTTTTGCAGAATCTGGTGCACTGCGCTGACCTGAGCAACCCCACCAAGCCGCTGCCCCTGTACCGCCAGTGGACAGACCGCATCATGGCCGAGTTCTTCCATCAGGGAGACCGCGAGCGTGAGTCGGGCCTGGACATCAGTCCCATGTGTGACAAACACACGGCCTCAGTGGAGAAGTCCCAGGTTGGCAGGGGACTGGGCTGAGCCGGTAGACACTGGGAGAGAGTAAAAGGGAGGGGCTGAGCCAACCCCATGAGCCCTGGCTTGGCCCTGGCTGGCTAGCCAGGGAGTGTGTCCTAAGGGTACTGTCTGGGCCGAGTTAGACCTGGGATCCATTCTCTCTGGGCTTCAGGGAGAGGGACATGCACTTCTGGGGTTTGGAAACATCTATTCTGGGTGACATGTGGGACCCTGGAGGGGCTTCCAGTCTGGGGGACATGTACATTCAGCCCTGTGGGGTCAGGGTTGGGGTTGGAGGAGACCAGAAGGGTTAAGGGAGGCATTCTAGACAGTGAGTTATTTGAAAAGGGTTTTGAAGGATGAGTAGGAGTTCGGAAGCGGCATTCCAGGCAGAGGGAACAACTTGGCTAAAGATCTGGAGGTTGGATTGAGTCTAGGGTTCACTGTGACTCACCAAATGCCTACCTGCCCAACCCCCGCCACAGGTGGGTTTCATTGACTACATTGCCCACCCACTGTGGGAGACTTGGGCTGACCTGGTCCACCCAGACGCACAGGACCTGCTGGACACGCTGGAGGACAATCGAGAGTGGTACCAGAGCAAGATCCCCCGAAGTCCCTCAGACCTCACCAACCCTGAGTGGGGCGGGCCTGACAGATTCCAGTTTGAGCTGACTCTGGAGGAGGCAGAGGAAGAGGAGGAGGAGGAGGAGGAGGAAGAGGACGGGGAAGAGACAGCTTTAGACAAAGAGGCCTTGGAGTTGCCTGACACTGAACTCCTGTCCCCGGAAGCTGGCCCAGACCCTGGGGACTTACCCCTCGACAACCAGAGGACTTAGGGCCAGCCCTGCGTGAACTGCAGGGGCAATGGATGGTGAATCCCTTTGGCTCTTGGCAGGCAGACTTTCCAGGAAGTGGCTCCATGTGGCTTCTGCTTCACTTTCCCACCCACTGAGGGAGACAATCAAGTTCTTAGTCATAGGTGGCTCTCAGGGTCTAACTGGAGGCACCTGGCTGGGGTCCACTCTGACCCCGGACTTGCCTAAAAGAGCTCTCCAAGGGGCAGCCTCTTCTAATGCCCTTGGGATCTTTGTCCTGGGCTTCTATCCCTGCGAGGAGAGGTGCTGTCTGCTAGAGCCTCTAGCCCACCCTCTCCAGTGGTCACTCTTGAGCCACATCTGTCACAATTATTTCCTTCTTTGTCAAATATGCATTGCCCATCTACTTCATACCAGCTTTATGCCTCCGTAGTAGCCCTGCACAAGGGGTGGGGGAGTCAGGAGACCATCCCAAAGGCATCTCACCGTCTTCCTCTACCAAGCAGCTCTCTGCAAGAGCATGGAAATGTGAGTGGGGAAATTTTCAGCACCAAAGCTTCATTCATACCCAATTTTGTTTCTGAAACTGTGGTAGGGGGCAGGAAGAGGAGCAGAAAAGAGGGGCTGGGCAAGGCATGGTGGCTCATGCCTATAATCCCGGCACTTTGGGAAGCTGAGGTGGGAGGATCACTTGAGCTCAGAAGTTTGAGACCAGCCTGGGCAATATAGCAAGACCCCCATCTCTGAAAAAAAAAAATTAGCCAGGCATGGCGGTGTGCACCTGTAGTCCCAGCTACTCAGAAGGTTGAGACAAAGAGGATCGCTTGAGCCCAGGAGTTGGAGGCTGAAGAGAGCTATAATTGTATCACTGCACTCCAGCCTGGGCAGCACAGCAAGATCCTGTCTAAAAGAAAAAAAAAAGACCGGGCGCAGTGGTTCACGCCTGTAGTCCCAGCACTTTGGGAGGCCGAGGAGGGTGGATCACGCAGTTGGGAGATCAAGACCATCCTGGCTAACACGGTGAAACGCTGTGTCTACTAAAAATACAAAAAATTAGCTGGGCATCATGGCAGGCGCCTGTAGTCCCAGCTACTGGGGAGGCTGAGGCAGGAGAATGGCATGAACCCCAGAGGCGGAGCTTGCAGTGAGCTGAGATCGTGCCACTGCACTCCAGCCTGGGCGACAGAGTGACACTCTGTCTCAAAAAATAAATATATAAATAAAAATAAAATTAAAAAAAGAAAAGAGAAGGAAAGGAAAGAGAGGGGGGCTCTGAGACTGAGCACAGTGGCCCATGCCTGTAATCCCAGCACTTTGAGAGGCTGAGGTGGGTGGATCACCTGAGGTTAGGAGTTCGAGACCAGTCTGGCCAACATGGTGAAACCCCATCTCTACTAAAAATACAAAAATTAGCTGGGCGTGGTGATGGGCGCCTGTAATCTCAGCTACTTGGGAGGCTGAGGCGGGAGAATCGCTTGAACTCAGATGGTGGAGGTTGAAGTGAGCCGAGATCGTGCCACTGCACTCCAGCCTGGGCAACAGAGCAAGACACTGTCTCAAAAAAAAAAAAAAAAAAAAAAAAAAGAAAAAAAGAAAAAATTGCCAGGCCAGGTGGCTCACGCCTGCTTGTAATCCTAGCACTTTGGGAGGCTGAGTGGGGGTGGATCGCCTGAGGTCAGGAGTTCGAGATCAGCCTGGCTAACATAGTGAAACTCTGTCTCTACTAAAAATACACAAAATTAGAGATCGGGCGCGGTGACTCACGCCTGCAATCCCAGAACTTTGGGAGGCTGAGGTGGGCAGATCATGAGGTCAGGAGTTCAAGACCAGCCTGGCCAACACGGTGAAACCCCATCTCTACTAAAAATACAAAAATTAGCTGGGCGTGGTGGTGGGCGCCTGTAATCCCAGCTACTTGAGAGGCAGAGGCAGGAGAATCGCTTGAATCTGGGAGGTGGAGGTTGTGGTGAGCCGAGGTCATGTCATTACACTCCAGCCTGGGCGACAACAACAAAAAGAGGGGGCTCTGTGCCCGACATGTCTCTGAAGATTGATTTAACCTATGCACCAGTTGTTGCTTTAAGTCGCTGTATTTTCTGTCTTCGGTATCTGTGGATGTAGGAGCCCCCTGCTTTCTCTGTCCTCAGAACTCCATGCTGGGTCCCCCACATGTTGCTCCTTCCCTAGGACAGCAACAAAAACACACAATTTTCCCCTCCCTAGCGGGTCTCTAAGTCTCCTGATTCCTGAAACTGCCTCAGACTCCCCCTAGAGGGAGGGAGGCCCCTGAGGCTTTCTTGCCATCGTAGCCCCTTCTGGGCCTCCGTTTCCCCTCTGTAACCTGATCCTAGTACTTGGATAAACTCCGATTGGGGGTGGGGAGTTGTTGTCTGTTACCTACCTGAAATATCCTAGACATTTGGGGTACTGAGCATTTATCTGGGGTTAAATAAAATCTTTACATCTTAAGACATTCGATTGACCAAACTGAGCGTCCTGGCCATTTCACTAATGGGGAAACTGAGGCACAGAGCGGTCCTCTTGCCAGCACAAAGTCAAGCATCTGGGCGCCCAATATTAGCCAGCGGCGCCCCCTGGTGGCGCGCGTGGGAGACACGGCGGGGCGCGCTTCTCGGGGGTTGGCGGGTGGGTTGGAGGGGTTGCATCCTCCCGCCCTGATGGTCTCACTTACCGCACCTCGCCAGGAAGAGCTCGTCCTGCTGGTCGGGACTCCGAGCGTACTGGGAGCACCATGCCCAAGCCTAGGGTTCGATCCCCGCCTCCGGAAGCCTTAGTATCCATCCCTACCCTCTGCCTCCCTCTTCGCGTGCCTGAATATTTATACAAGATGCAGGCTTCATCACAGCCGCCCTTGGCTTCCAGAGCAGCTGGCTTCGTTCGTAAATATTATAACCACTCAGAATTCATCATCATCACAGTTAATGATAAAATTCCACAGTGCCAGAACTAAAAGTCATCCGGGTTCACGAACTTGGTGCATTTCCTTCCAGACTTTTAAAAGGCAGAGATTTAGGGAATTTTTTTTTCCAAGATTTTTCCCCCAGTCCCCTTACAAAGTAGTACGTGTTCGTTGTAGAAAATTTGGGAATAATGGAAATGTATAAAGAAGGAAATAAAATTCTGCTGTATCTCCACCCATAGATTATCTGCAGTATTTTGCCTTATTTCCCTCCATTTTTTCTACATCTGTTATAAGATATTCATATTTCTTTTCTTTCTTTCTCTCTCTTTTCTTTTTCTTTTTCGTTTTTTTTAGGTGGAGTATATTTAGTAGAAACGGGGTTTTAGCATGTTGACCAGGCTGGTCTTGAACTTCCGACCTGAGGTGATCCACCCGCCTCGGCCTCCCGAAGTGCTGGGATTACAGGCGTGAGCCACCATGCCTGGCTCCCCACTGGGTTTTTTTTTTTTTTTTTTTTTTTTTTGAGGCTTGGAGTCTTGCTCTGTCACCCAGGCTGGAGTGCAGTGGCCGAATGTCAGCTCACTGCAAGCTCCGCCTCCCGGGTTTCTGTATTCTCTTGCCTCAGCCTCCCGAGTAGCTGGGACTACAGGCGCCCGCCACCTCGCCCGGCCATAATTTTTGTATTTTGGTAGAGACGGGATTTGCTGTGTTAGCCAGGATGGTCGATCTCCTGACCTTGTGATCCGCCCGTCTCGGCCTCCCAAAGTGCTGGGATTAGAGCGAGCCACAGCCGGCCTGGAATTTTAAGTTAGTGTCTTCTTCCCCAAGAAGTCGTCCCCTGGACCGATATCTAGGATACTTTTTTTTTTTAATTTAATTTTTTTCCTTGAGACTGAGTCTTCCCTGTCTCAGCCTCACCCAGGCTGGTGTGCAGTGGTGGTGTGATCTCAGCTCACTGCAACCTCCGCCTCCTGGTTCTGTGCGATTCTCATGCGACCTCCCAAGCAGCCTCCTGGGACAGGCACTTCTTTTTTTTTTTTTTTTTTTTTGAGACGGAGTCTTGCTCTGTCACCCAGGCTGGAGTGCAGTGGCCGAATGTCAGCTCACTGCAAGCTCCGCCTCCCGGGTTTACGCCATTCTCTTGCCTCAGCCTCCCGAGTAGCTGGGACTACAGGCGCCCGCCACCTCGCCCGGCTAATTTTTTGTATTTTTAGTAGAGACGGGGTTTCACTGTGTTAGCCAGGATGGTCTCGATCTCCTGACCTTGTGATCCGCCCATCTCGGCCTCCCAAAGTGCTGGGATTAGAGGCTTGAGCCACCGCGCCCGGCCTGGGTTTTAAGTTAGTGTCTTCTTCCCCAAGAAGTCGTCCCTGGACCCGTATCTGGGATACTTTTTTTTTTTTTTTAATTTAATTTTTTTTTTTCTTGAGACTGAGTCTTCCTGTTATCACCCAGGCTGGTGTGCAGTGGTGGTGTGATCTCAGCTCACTGCAACCTCCGCCTCCCTGGTTCATGCGATTCTCATGCCTGAGCCTCCCAAGCAGCCTCCTGGGACAGGCACCAGCACACCAGGCTAATTTTTGTATTTTTAGCAGAGATGGGGTTTCACCATGTTGGCCAGGCTGGTCTCGAACTCCTGACCTCAAGGTCAAGAAGTGATCCTCCTGCCTTGGCCTCCCAAGGTGCTGGTATTACAGGTATAAGCCACCGCGCCTGGCCAGATTTTTATTTTTATTTGTCTAGTGTAGACGATAGGGTGGGGCCATGGGGAGGCCTCTGGACTTTCCTCTGAGTGGGGCCGGCCTGGAAGCCCAGCCCCTTCTCCCACCAGCTGTGTCTCTCCTGCCACACAGAAAATGCCCCAAGCCCACAGCCCCTCCCCCAGCTCAACCATTTCTAATTCCAGAGCCCAGTGCTGCTCTGGATAATCAAGGGCTTGCATTCTTTTTAAATTTAAATTAAGTAATTAATTTTTTGAGACGGGGTCTCACTCTGTCGTCCAGGCTGGAGTGCAGTGGCGCGATACGGTTTCCTACAGCCTCGACCTCCTGGGCTCAAGTGATCCTCCTACTTCAGCCTCGGGAGTAGCTGGGACCACAAGCACGCGACACCACACCCAGCTGATTTTGAAATTTTTTGTAGAAACGGGGCCTCCCTATGTTACCCAGGCTGGTTTCCAATTCCTGGGCTCAAGCGATCCTCCCGCCTTGGTCTCCCAAAGTGGTGGGATTACAGGCGTGAGCCGCCTCACCCGGCTATTTTTACTTTAAAATACTACGTCAGTGACAGAAGCTTTTGCACATTCTCGTGGCTCACTTTTCTCTTCCTGGGGAAAAAAAGGAAGGAGGTATTTCCGAGAGAACCACCCATGTAGGAAGCGTGCCTTTGGGCGATCAGGGAGCTGAGCAGCCTAAAACCTCCTCCCCTCCAACGAGGCCGCAGGCAAGGGCTTGGACCAGCTGCCCC